TATTTCCAACTTGTTGGTAATTTTATTTCGATCAACATATTATTCTAGCTTATATTGCATTTAGTATTCGTGATACTTTCAGGGTATCTACTGAATATCTTACCCAAAATCTACACAATTATATAAATTCTACTTTTTTGTCTATCAAAAATAGTAAATTGGAAATTTCTAATTCCATCATATAGTATAGAATATATTATTATATTATTCAAATACATTCATAGCAGTGGCAGCTTTATGAGGGGGAGGTGAAAGGTAGACCACTATCGTCCTCCCCCCCCCCCTTTGGCCGTGCAAAAATATGAAAGCAATAGGAAAAAATAAATATGATATGTACGTAAATTGTAAGTACATATATTCAAAATATTTCCATCCCCATCCCCTAGAGGCTTTTTAAGAACCMCCCTTGGTTCATAGGTAACTTCGGTCTCTTTATTATAGGTAGGTATACGTATTATACATATATAACTTACATAATATTGCATAAAAAAACAATTTGTATAMATTTTAGTTTAGTAATAAAAAATACATTCAATGTAGCCAATGTAGGAGCCCTATAGCTAATCTTACTCTTTACCCTCTCCCCATCCCAGCGAACACTACTTCACGGCGTTGTTATATAATGTTTKTAATCCTAAATAAATTCATGAACACGTCCGAGACAACGTGTTTTGTGAACTGTCTGTGTTTTTTTTTTCTTTGGTCACTACATATAGCCGTCCTCATGTCTAGAGGGCGCAGTAACGGAAGTCGGAAGCGACGAAACACCGTCCGAGGTGCGAGTGTTCTGCAACGTCCGCAACGGAACCACTATTGCAGCAGACGACGGAGACGGCAATGCAGTTGGTCGAGACAGTCACTTCCGRTCAAAATACTGCCGGCTTACGTTACCACGAGACGCAAAGACCCTGTCGCTGGCGTATGGAAGAGGTACCACTCGGTACTCGTATCACGGTGCGACGTACAACGATTGCGGCGTGTCATTCGCAAAACCACTGAGACGATCCGAAATCGGCCGATGGAAGTGTATGAACGCCATGTCCGACGACCAGGTTTATGGCGGGTTCGTTGTCGTCGAACCACCAAACAATACGAAAGGTAAAACTATACGACCGACTATACGGTGTCGACCGCAGTAGTATGTATCGCAACATAACCCAATAGACCATATAATAAATAGGTATATACTACATAAAATTGTTCTATAATTTTMATTTTGTTTCATAATTTATTAAACTTTGAAAAATAAACATATAGACTCTTGCATTCTCTTAGAAACCCATCTGCGGACGATGTGTTTTTTTATCGATCCAACTTGTATATTATATAGAAGTACTGGCTACTATTATTGTACCTATACGATATACGATTACGGTATCCCTACTGATCATTTTTATTATATA